TCCTTTTTTTTTCCTTTTTTTTTCCTTTTTTTTTCCTTTTTTTTTCCTTTTTTTTTCCTTTTTTTTTCCTTTTTTTTTCCTTTTTTTTTCCTTTTTTCCCCAGTAAGGCACAGGAAAACTTACTAAAAACAAATCGTTAACTTGAAGGTTTCCATCCAAATACATCCCAGTGGAGATTTGCTTCTAGGAAGCAAGACAATTGTAGGAAATGAATAGAAAGCTAGTCAGTACTTTTAATTTGACATTTTTTTGCTGAAAAATGAGAGTATATCCTTACGGCTTTAAACTCAGCTCGACTTAGGGGGAGGAAAGAAAAGTTGCTTTTTGCAAGCAAGCCAAAATCAGCACCTTCTTCTTTAGCTTTTTTTCTTAAATGAATCACATCCCCGTTAAAAGATGGAATTCTGACTAATGAAAATATTTGCCTTTAAAGAAATACGAAATGCTGTAGAAGTAGGGTTTGTGTTCTCTTTGGGTGGGTTTTTTTTGGTTTGGTTTTTGTTTGTTTGTTTTGTTTTAATTAGCTTCAGCAGGAGGTTGCTTTCCTTTTGGCTGCCAGGGGAATTCCCTTACAGCTCCAGTGGTGGTGTAAGCACTGCTGACGTTTCTACTCGTGTGACATTTCTTCCAGAGCTATTTTCAGTCATAACTTCTAACATGTATTTTAGCCATTATTTTGCATAAAAAGAAAGCACAAGACCTTAGGCCACATCTTTGATTAGTTACATGCCAGGTCTCATCTCCTTTAGGAATGTGCTCTTTCTTAACGTTGTTGCCACTTTTCTGTGGTTATTTATTGGGGTGCTGTAGATACAAGAGTCTTTCCTCCTTCTAGTGGATTTGGAATTATCTTGTGATACATATTATTCTTTGGGAGGCTCCATTTTACAAATATTTCAAGATTACAGCTATGTAAATCCACATTTCTATTTATATGTAGTTCTTTTAAATATGGTATTTATGCAAACCCTCTTCAACAACCGTGAAAATCTATTGCAATTATGTGCAATTATCTTTAAATATTTGATTGTGCAGGGCTGAAAGTTTACATTGATAGTGCTGTCATTTGTAACCCTCTTAGAGATGAAAAACAGAAATTTGCCCTGAAGACCTAGCTCTTAAACCTATGTGAACCATTAAAAATTTCTGCCTCAAGACTGGCTTATGTTAAATCTCACATTCAAAATTAACATTTCTGGTATAATGAGAGCATTATACAATTAAATATTTACTGTGTGTCTTTAGGATATACAATCTACATACAATATAATGTCTATCTTTAGGATATAACCACGTATAGGCCTCATAGCAGACTACAGGTATGCAATACCATGCTAAATATGTGTAATGCCAATAAAGTTGTAAAATAAAAAGCTAAATGACAATAACAGCCTCTCTTCTGTGGATCTGCTTTGGGTTTTTTTGTGTGCTGCATAGGGCCAGGCAGAGTTTGTAGCTAAGTGGTGGCTCTTTTTAAGAAGACAATTTCCATGTATATTGTAATTTCATCCACCTCTCAGCTGAGCTGCAGTCAGGGTCTTAAATTACTTTCTGCAAAGCCTTTTACCAGTAACTTGTGTTTTATTCCTCATCATTCACACAGTTGGCTAAATACTGTGCCTCTTGCTTTCCAGGCAACAGTGAGACATATCTAGGTAATTCTTTTAATACTTGAGTATAATATCCCAGTTTTGTGGTGTTGGGTTTGTTTGTTTGTTTGTTTCTTTTTTCTTTTCAGCTGAGCTGTACTGTTTGTGGAGAAAATCGTAATGTCAGTGCTACCATCAGCTCAAGCTTCGAAATTTCACATTCAAGTTTACCAGGTGTTTTCACTCTTGCCTTGTCCCTATAGCCTTTGCATCTTATCCCAGGAATCTGTCCCTAAATACTTTTACTGAATTAAAAAAGTAGTGTTCACCACTGTTGTGTGCAAAATCAAATGCAACTTATTCTTTCTCTGGACTGTGTGGATGTAATTAAATCCCATATGCAAAATGGTGATGGGAGCATGATTGTTTCTGTCTGTGCAGAGCATCAAAGTTTAATAGTTATGTAATTGAGTTCTCCTCAACTCAATGTGTTCTGTCTAACGCTGTTGCCAGGGAACTTGATATGCACATTATATTTGGTTCATGCAGACCAAAGTTGGCTGACTCTTTGTGCTTATGGATTGGTATCATGGTGCATGAATACTTAAACTGTATCATCCAGAGTGCATCCTATCAAATAAGAAAAAAAGGTATAAAGTTGAGTCTCTCTATGTATCTCTGAAAACCAGATTGCATCATTATAAGTGAGCTGTGTTCACATAGCTCACTTTCTAGCAGTGGTGTAGATAACAGGTGACTGTGGTGTTTCCACTTCGTTAGGAACATCAGTAATTTCACCTCGGGGTAGCTCTGTCATTGTAAGAACCCTGAGGTTACAGTTTGCACTACAGACTTTTTCTGGCAGGCCTCCACCTGTCTTCTCAAGCTGTTCTGCACTAAAGCTCCTTCATGTTCTCT